ATAACTATAAATTGTTTTAAACCAGAAAAACTCTCTCCCCCCAGGAGTATAATAGTTTGGGAACTGCTGCCAGAAAACTCACTAAGTATTTCCTGTTATAGAAGAAATGGTCTTTAGGAACTGCATAACAGTAGACATCCTACATGTTCAAACACACAAGAGGTTACACTGTGCAACAATGAAAGCTCATTCAGTTTGCCAGTCTACTTCTGACAGGCCACACACACACATCACTAATTTTCTAGTCTAATTGACCATGGCACAATGAGTGACCAAGTGACAGAAAAGAACATAGAGAATTCAAGAAGTGTCTTCTGAAGGAAAGTACTGGAATTACTCATCAAACCAGGAATGGATTTAGAAATATTACCTTAAAAACCCATCAGATACTTTTAATGTGGAAAAGGATATGTTGTCCTTACTTTAAGCACCTTATTTCGACATGGCATTTTCCTCCTTTTAGAAAATCTGTACAAATAAAATTCAGCTAGCATGAGAATTCTTTGAAGAGAACTATCTTGAGAAGCAGCCCACCCATTAAAGAGTTTGAAACCATTAGGTATAAACCTTAATTCTGTATTGTAGAAGGGAATTATGAAATAAAAGGCAGCAAATTGTCATGGATTAAACACCATTTTCATCGGGTTCTAAAAGCACATTCCTCACAAGATAACACTTGGTTATTCTGACACACATGGTGTAGGGAGAAGGTTTAACTCTTAGGTTCTTAAATATTGCAAAAAATAGGCCCTTTCCAAGTTCCAAACAGAGCAGTGGTTAATGCAGTATAGTGTTACTTTACAGAACAGATTCCCTTACTCTTTTATATGAATTTAGTAACTTCCCCTTATATATATATATTAATTCAGCCAGTTTTCCAGCTTCTCATGCAGAATTTCCTTTTACACCTTCATGGTCTGGTTCATTCTGCTATTCTCTCGGGTTAATTTCACAGAATATTCAATTTACCTAATACAGTGTATAATAGGCTAAACTGGAATTTAAGATTTGCAATGGTGTGAAAGCAAAAATCTTATCTGATAGAAGAATGGGGGAAATTAAACAAGACTAGTGCAAAATCAACTTATACCACACTTCTAACTTGACTTCAGAAAGTGATAATGGTTTTAACACAATCATCATATCCTGTATCAAGCCCATCCTGTGTCAGCACTTTCATGCCATTTCTGGCTCAACCTTGCTCCGAGTGTCACAGTAGAGCACAATGTGTGTCAATGTGGGGAAAATGGGTAAGAATGTAATTGTTCTTTGAGTACAATTAATCTCCACTCAATTAAATGTTATTCAAATAGCTGCTTCACCCACTGCATGCCCGAAAGAATCCCAAGACCAGGCCAATAACACCATGGAAACCAAGACTTATGTGGTATTTAGGGCATTTTATTCAACAGTCAACAGCGTTGAAATATTCAGTGTAATCATACCAAATGTCTGTCAGGACTCTGCTCCAGAAGAGCCCAGGTGAATTCTAGTTTTCATTCTAGCTGAGTTTTTAACTGGACATTAAAAACTGCAGGTACCCCGGGTACGCCTGCCTTAAAGCAATGGACCCCACCATAAAGCATGGAATGCTACTCCCAGTAGCCCAGAGAAATAAAAAAAAGTCTCTATTGCATTAAGAAACCACACCATTTTCTTGGACAAGTCAAATCAGTATATGACAAATACCAAGGGATTGAACACTTTTAAAAGCCACTGTATAAGCATGCAGCAACTGAAAGAGTGAGATGAGAAATGTGCTTTACATTTCAGTAAGTTAAACCCTCTGTATACCTAGGCTTTCATTTTCAAAAGGATGTGCTCTATCAATTGCCTGCAGGGTCTGAATACCTCCCAACATTCCCTGTGCCCCTTGGCCAGCTTGCTTCAATTAGGACTCCCCTTGAGCCGATAAGCTAGTGTCCAGTTCACTACTGCCTTTTATAGAGGTCACACCCAAGGTCAGCCTTGCTTACAGTCCTGCATTTTTTAAATAACTGCGGGCTCATACCTTCTCACAACCAGCCCCGAGAGAAGTGAACCCGAAGCCTGCACAAGGGCTGACAATCTAACAAGCTCAGTTTGCTGGGCTCATTTTTTCGGCAGTGAAGAGGAGGTTGTAAAGGCATGTTTACCAAAGCAAAGGAAACTGGCTGTGTGTGAGTGTAGGCACATCTTGGGGAAAAAAAAACAAAACTTCATGACATGCACTGAAAAAACAGTTGCCAAACTAGTTTTCTCTATTTCGCTTGCAATGATATGCAATGATGCATATTGACTAAACCTATTGCTTGGTTTCCTACAATAAAAGCTATATTATGACTTGAGTATGTCTTAGAGTTCTATAAAACTATCTGGTATTTTTTACAGAGAATATTTCACAAGAAAAAGCTACGATCCCCGGCAATAAGACTCAATCCCAGTCCAGGTCAGTCTTTGATTTAAAGGCATGAATTGGCACAAGTGATTAATGGCTCAGATGCAACGAAAACCAGCAATCCGATTGCCCGTTCAGACTTTAGTTGACCTATTCAGAATTTAAATTTTGGTTAAAAAAATAATCTATTGCTCTAACAACGTCAACATACAGATGCACAATCTCTCTTAAACTTGTTTATTAAGCATTCTCTCCCTTATTTCTGACTAAACAGCTCTTAATATGTTAGATGACCAGATTACAAAGATGATGACATAGCTAAATAAGGGAAGTTTCATTGCTCTGAAATTGGCAGAGTTGATATGGACTACAAGTCCCATTCACGTTTTAAGAGCCGAAAGCAAATTTTAAAATGTTTCATATGTACAGTAACACCGAAATAACTTACCCTGCAATGAAGACAGTGGACTACATAAAAAGAGCCATTTACTTGATAGCCACAACTATATACTTGTCATTTTACAAAATATTTGTTAAATCTGTGATATTTTATGTGTAACAATGAGAATTCACACTTAGAAGCCTTATTTATAAAAGTAATGTAGAACATTTAAAGAAATATGCACTTTCCCACGGACTTAAAGGAGGGTTTAAACCCTAATGTGATTAGTGTGTTAACATGATTAAGGTGGAAAACAATTAGAGCTGTGTAAAAGTTTTATGGCTGCAGTGTAGGTTTTAGTAGAGAGTCTCCATGGGTGGTCATGCCAGATGCAAAGTCCCACTTTCTAAAAGCCAGCTAAGCGGTGAAAAACAGTTTAACAGATACCTGCCTGAGAAAAAAACTAAAGCAATTTAGCTAACCTACACACAAAAGGATGCACTCCCATTAATTCCTCTAATTGTGGAACCTAATGTACAGTAAAATACTTATTTGCCTCTCTGATTCCCATGTAATAATGGGTGGAGATGGGTGTACAGTATGTGGTTTTCACCACCCAAGGTTTAGTATTATTCCTAGAGACTGCGCTGTTCCAATAAAAATGAAAAGAAAAAGAAAGAGACTTCACAAAGAAAACTATACACATCTGCGATATAAAACAGCACCCAAGAACATACAGCAAATCCCTAAACTAAGCCTAGCAATGAATGAATTCTGCAAGGAAAGGGCATGTTAAAAGTGTAAATTACACATTGCATTGACGAAAAAGAGGTTTATGTACAAGACCAGGTGTCTGCCTGCAATATGCAGTATGTAATGAAATGCATAAAATCACACCGGAAGATGAAAACCCAAGCTGTATCATTTTCATTAACTTTAAGGAAACTGACGTTCACCATTCTCTCAGTTCTGCAAATATTAAGCAGCTGACTACCCTATGTAGCCAACACATTCTTATCATTCCTTGATAAGCAATGCCTATAAAGTCTAAAAAATGCAGCATAGACATCTACCAACTGAAGGGCGACAAAAATAAACCAGTTTAGAGGAGTCATTTCCAAGAAAAAAAAACTAAAGCAAAACTTCTGTACTTCTACAAGACATGAGCTTGTTGAAAATAAATTTCTGCAGTCCAACAAGGAATACAAAGTGCCGTTATGGAGTACAAATTATAAATTTTACACATGTACAGTTTATCTTGGAGAAACAGCTCGTTGACAGAACTGTAGTTTGAGAGAAATAACTATGGCAAGCTACAGTAGTTTGGTATCTACAACCAGTTATACAATAATAATTGTTTACACTTATATAGCACTCTTCTGGACACTCCACTCAAAGCGCTTTACAGGTAATGGGTACTCCCCTCCACCACCACCAATGTGCAGTATCCACCTGTATAATGCGACGGCAGCCATAGTGCGCCAGAACGCTCCACACATCAGCTATCAGTGGGGAGGAGAGCAGAGTAATGAAGCCAATTCATAGATGAGGATTATTAGGAGGCCATGATGATAAGGGCCAATAGGAAATTTGGCCAGGATGCCAGGGTTACACCCGTACTCTTTTAAAGAAATAACCTGGGATTTTAAATGACTACAGAGAGTCGGGACCTCGGTTTTACATCTCATCTGAAGGACGATGCCTGTTTACAGTCTAGTGTCCCCGTCACTATACTGGGGCATTAGGACCCACATGGACCGCAAGGTGAGTGCCCCCTGCTGGCCCCACTAACACCTCTTCCAGCAGCAACCTTAGTTTTTCCCAGGATGTCTCCCATCCAGGTACTGACCAGGCTCACACCTGCTTAGCTTCAGTGGGTTGCCAGTTGCAGAGTGATATGTCTGCTGGCCATCTATATACAGTATATTCACCTTGATTTGACCAAAGGAAACTCACTGGGAATCCATAGTGACAAAAGGACCTAGTTTTTTTAGATGGGGATGAGTGTTGAGTCATTTGAGGCTGCTTTCTAATAAATCTTGCAGGTTTATTTTTGCCTGTCCATTAACAAACCCCCTGTATCATCCTGATGTGAACAGTGGAGTGGACAGAGGAGTAGTGACCTTTCTGCAGCTCAGTGAGCATGACCAGCTGGACTTACTCAGCAGATGACAGCTCTAAAAGTTTTCTCCACCACTGATACAGATTCATAAAGCACTGGGCTGAACAACAAGACAGGGAGCTCATACAAATGAGCAGAACCACACAAGAAAAAACAACATAAAAGAACAGACAACAAAGTATAATTTTCAATTCATGCTTGAAGAACTCTGCACATAAAACCTTATTAAATGTTGGTGAGTCTACTTTATGTTACTCTTTTCATTTCAGGAGTAATATTTTAAATACATAAATAGAAACAAACCTTAGATTTTTTTCTGCAACATATTGTGCAGGCTCTCTAAAATAGCAATGTACAGTTTGTATTTAAATGTCTGTTTTATTGCTATATTTTTAAGCTTGACACTGAGTGAACAGAAGTAAAAAGGCAGTCAGATATACACTTTTGAAAAGCTAAAGAATAATTGGTCATTCATGGCAGACAATGCCATGCTTACCAACTGGGTGAAAATAAGTTGGAAATTCAAGACATAAATGAGGGATTGGAAAGCGGAAAATGAGTCACAAGAAAATACAATAGCATTCTAGACAGGAATCTGGCAGTAAACTGAAAAATAATAGTGACCTGGAACCAACATTATTTCACTCTGGTAATAAGATCTGAAGAACTACTGGTAAAAAAGTGATTAATATAACAGTATAATCATCCAAGATCATTAAATTCAACTGAGATCATTAAATTCACCCATTGTTGACCTATCTTTTCTGTTCTATACAAAAGCCATTTAAAAAGCTAGAGATGCCATCTACAGCTGGAAATATTTCTTAAACATTACAGATATATTGAGCCTTAATAATATAAACGTAAGAAGAAAATGCACTGTGTGATTTCTTGTAACCACAAAGGCCTCAGATTTTTATACTGATAAAACTAGATGGGGTTCCGTTGCTCCCACTGTTTCTACAGAAGCCATGCTGCAGTTGGTTGGCTGTTAAACATCACACCGTATAAATATGTACTAATTTAAAATAAGCTTCTCCATACACTCGCACTCTGCTTTCTATTACCTTATAATTGACCTGGGGTCAACTGATTTATTAAGCATAATTAAGGAAGCACAAGACATTTTCCCTAGTAAGTACCTACATTTGCAATGAGAAAATCAGAAAAAGCAACATCTTATTGCCTTAAGAAAACAGTGGTTTTCTAATCAGCAAGCATAATGTTGCATTTAGACTGAATGTACTGAAGGAACAACAGTATTAAGATAAATTAACCTTTGAGCTAGACTGCATTTCTAAGGCTATGAAGTCTACACTTTCAACAAAGCACCAGCTTCCCTCCATCAGTAAAACGGCTAATCTAAACTCTCTTCACCACCATCCAACAACTACTTTATGGGACATAAACTCACTGCAGGAGCCTGAAAAAGAACCCTTATAAGGAATCTGTGAAATCTTCACCTTTTTACTACCCCCTTAGAATATATTAGGGTGTAGAAAATCATGTTACATGAGTGGGTTTTATGGAGCTGTAAAACCTAAAACTGGAAAAAAAACATTTGTCGCACAAGGTCTACAGTTTGTCTTCAGTGTTAACAGAAGGACAAAAGGCAAGAAAATAGGGTACAGGTAATGCTATTTTTTTTATAATGCCACATTTGATCATGTCTCTTTACACACCGATAAAATTGTCAATCTAAATAACTTGCACTTCTGGTTTGGTTTAGATCTTTTACTGTGGTTTTGATAAAAAGTCTGACGGTTGCTGTGAACTTCCTGTGTGCCACTGCTTAAAGAAGCCATGAAGTAGTTCTGCCGCACTAAATGTGAAGGCAACATTTCAAAAGGTGTAAAAGAAGATAAATACAGCTGCATGATACAGCTGCCGTTGCTTGCACATGTATCATTACAAAAACTGTCCTTGATTTAAGCTCAGGTACATATCACTGTAGTAGGAAGGAGAAAATAAACTTGAAAATACAAAAATACATACTTGCTCTCACACAGAGACACCATTATCAAATGAACTTGAAAAATCTGTTTTTGCTTTGTAATGCTTTCCAGTTTTCAATGACACTCACTGAACATTTTTTAAATGAAATTAAACTTTCTAAGCCTTTGCAGAGGACAAAAATTATCTAGTACTTTACAGCATACTGCCTCAGTCACCTAATTGAGCAAAACATTAAAATATTAAATAAAATTAAAAGGGTAAATTCTGCCTACCACAACACTTTCTTGATTTTAATTTTAATTCCAATATAAACATATACTGTAGCTCACCTCACAATAGATCCTATTGATACTTATTAAATACGTACCCTGATACCAGTGTACAGTATATGAAATTCTAATCCAGTTTTTTGATTCAATGCCTCTCATTCTCCAGACAAGAGAGGTTGTAGGTGGTTGTTTCCTCTTCATAAAAACGCTGGTGATTTTCAAGCGTTTTTCAGCAGGTGAAAGCGGGCAAGAGAGGGCGGGAGAAGTGTCTGCTTAGCTCTTTGGCTTCCAAAAGCAAACAGACAGAGTGTCTGAGCAAAAATCCATTTTTCCCCCCTGACTGCAAAGGCCATATACAGCTTGTCACAGTGCAAATATTTGAAGTAATGAAAAAAAAACATTAAAAACCAACTGGCATTGAGGGTGCATCATATGTGGTTCTATTTGCAGAAATCATTATTAATGAAGGTGGCTTTGAAATTGCCTTTCCATATATATCTGCCTGTTCCTCAGTCTTTACAGGCGCACAATCAAGACACGCATACTGCAATAGAAATGCTCTGCTCTCCTGACAGATGAGACCGAATGATGGAGCTCCAAAACCAGAGCCTGGCCTCAGCTCCTGCCAACTGCACCCTGGATACCAGCTACCGCTACACCTTCTACCAAGTCACATACAGCATCATATTTATCTTTGGTTTGGGGAGCAACACTTTGGCCCTGCAAAGGTTCTGGGCTTCATCAAAGACGCTCAATAGCACCGCAGTCTACATGGTTAACCTGTCTGTGGCAGACCTCTTCTTTGTGGTGTCCCTTCCCCTGAGGATCTACTACCACCACCACTCTTCCCAGAACTGGATGCCGGGGGGCACTTTCTGCCAGCTGACTTTCACACTTAAATACATCAGCCTCTACGGAGGCATCTTCTTCTTGGTGTGCATCGGGGTTGACCGCTACTTTGCTGTGGTCTACCCCTTCAACAAGCGGTGGAGGAGTGTGCGTACCGCTAGGGGAACAAGTGCAGGGATTTGGTGCCTGGTGTTAGCCCTCAGCATTTCCCTCCCCTTCCTACACACGGCTGCAGCCCTGCTCCACCAGCCCTGCCTGCTGGACCCATCGTCCAGCCGCAACCGCCTCTTCATCGTGGGCATCCTCCTCCTTGTGGAGGCTGCATTTCTGCTGCCCATGCTCCTGCTGCTCTTCAGTTACTGCAGCATCCTGCACGTGCTGCGTCGCCCTCACTGGGATCACCGCCGACCTCATCCGCGCAAGCAGCGAACCTTGACGGTCATCTACTGGGTGGTGGCCATCTTCCTCCTCTGCTTTGCTCCTTACCATTTCAACCTCTTCTGGTATACCCTCACCAAGGTGCAGCTACTGCCCAACTGCCTCCTAGCCAAGGCCAGCCAGGCACTACACCCTGTGGTCCTTGTCCTGGCTAGCTCCAACTGCTGCCTGAATCCTCTCATCTACTATTTCTCCAGCAAGATGTTTCACAAGGATTCTGCCACCAGCACTGGCAGCCAGTGAGCTGAACTGGGATACTGCACATATGGAACCTTTTTTTTCCCCCCTGTAGCTTTGTTGAAATTTCATCCTTACCCCAAGAAGATAGAGAAGAGAATTTGTGGCCCAGGACGTCTTCTATGCTAACCAACCAACTGAAGTCCTTTGCAAATAAGCAAATAAGGGACTTGATCTGACAGGAAAAGCATAGCGTAGCTAAGGACACTTTCAACACTGAACTGCCAAGCTACCTCAATTGAGTCACAAAGATAACCTCTGAAAACTGACACCCTTCTTTCCCATACTACAGCAACTCTGTGATTTTTGGGAAGCATCAAAACCCTAGGAAACACTCATCCTTGTGAACTGTCTCTTAACGAAAACTCGCAATCACCTGATGTGAAGAGCTCATGAATCAAGACACCAAAGAAAAAAAGAACAAAATCTTGGTGAAAATAAATTTCTGCAGTCCAACAAGGAATACAAAGTGCAGTTGTTCATGGACTACAAATGATAAACTTCCTACATTATAAATCAAGGAATGACAAGATCTCGAGAAGGTTCCAAGGTCTACCCGTAGTAGTAGTAGTAGTAATAATAATAACTTACACTTATATAAGGCTTTTCTGGACACAACTTCCATTAAGTTCAGCTCAAAACTCATGAAGGAATCGTATAGTTTCTGTTAGATGTGGATGTTCAAATGATTGGATTTGACTTGTGTGGGAAAGTTCTTGCTGAACCTGTGCTGCATTCTTTTAACATTCATGGAGATGTGAAAGGTGGGTTATGTATAATTGTTGTACACTTGCTCACATTAATCACAGGCTTCTTCTGTTTTGTATAAGTGTAGGCACTTCTTGACTAGATACTATTCTAGTACAATTGTTTAGCATTGCACCGCCACTCACTGCTATCTTCAATTATTTAGGAGGTTGTATTGATTAGTTAGCTCAATTTCCTTATTGTCATTCATCAATTTACAAAGTAAATCCAATTAATTTTACTAAGTACAAATAAAAAAAAACTAGTAGAAAACATCTGAATTTCATGCTACTATTTGACAGGATTTGAAAATCATAAAAGGTAATAAAAAGAATAAACCCCAGTTTTCACCTGTTACCAGTCCTCCATGGTATAAACAGGGTCTTCAAACAATTTCACAGGATTCTTCACATTAATACCCCTTCAACATCACTAGCACCACTGATAGCAGATTAACTGGAGGGAGTTTTGATTTGCCCACATGGTCAAGCAGTCATTCCTCAGACCAAGCAAGATAAAACCAAGCATATCAATAAATGCCATCTTTCTTTTAGCAATCACATTAGTTTGTCTAATCAGTGCTTTGTAAAAGATTCCCAAAAACAAACTCCCTGCATTGCATCCTAATCGTGTTTGCTTACAAATTAGTTTGCACAGGTATGATTGAACCATATCAAGTCACAGTATTGCTACAGTGTTAAGCCCTATTTTATCATCTGCGTTATGATCCAGCTATCACAGGTTCAAGCCTGGATTATATCATTAACTGAATATGATCAGTTACTCAAGATGTGGAAAACAGGTAGAGCACCACTGAGGACAGGATTGCAATAACTGGCCAAGGCTTTCTCAGCTCTTCTCAGCAGAGTGGTGGCTCTGTGGTTAAGGATCTGCGCCTGTGACTGGAAGGTTGCTGGTTCAAATCCTGCGGCCGGCAGAGGAATCCTACTCCGTTGGGCCCCTGAGCAAGGCCCTTAACACCAACTGCTCCAGGGGTGCCGTACAATGGCAGACCCTGCGCTCTGACCTCAAGCTACTCTCTCTGTCTGTGTGTCTGTGTCTCCATGGAGAAAAGCTGGGGTATGTGAAAAGACAAATTCCTAATGCAATAAATTGTACAGGGCTAATAAAGAAACATTATTATTATTATTATTATTATATATAGAGACCCATGGACTAAGTTTTTAAGTTTAAGTTTTAAGTTTTGTGGTCCGGTTGTTGAGGGATGCACCTCTCCTCCAATTGGCACTGAATGTCCAGTATGAGGCTGTGTTGCTTCTCATGTACGAAAAAAACAAAAGGTTGGTGGATAGAAGGAATCTATGTATACTTCCTAATTCTCTCATGGTTAAAGTTGTGAGTATTGTAGCCTTAAGCCAAGTCAGGAAATATTAGGTAGGTATAATATACATTGGGTGATTCCAAATTAGAACAAACAGACATTAAGAGGCAGCGGGAACACTGACAGTCCAATCAGGATCAATTGCATTCTAAAAAATGGCAGTATAAACATGAGTTTGAATGTTTCGCTCACATAGGTGGTAATTGCCAGGATCAAATCCTACCACTTCTCATAACCAGGAAAAGAAAAAGAAAATTTTTGTCCCAATGTTTAAAGCTTGTTGTAAGAACTGAAAGGGATTTTCTCTTCAGTCTTTTATTCTTCAGCAGTATGACTATGTATTTACACAAGATCAACTCAAATTTGATCCATCTAAAGTGGCCTGTAAAGGTACTGTAACGCTGCTGATAAAGATCTTGTACAGATCAGAAATGGCAGTTCAAATGTGTTTCTTCTGCTATTCAATAAGGCATACAAAGAAACAGTGAGAAAGGCAATATGTACTGTACTTGGCTGGTAACAAAGATAATGTATCAATGAGAAAGAGAAAGCACAGGATTATACTGTGGTTTGGAAACCTACAGGCTACAGGGAGAGGAGGCTCATTCAGAAAAGACCATTGTGAAAGGAAAACTGATACTTCCTCCGGTATTCATGCAAACCCCACACTAGGATCTGAGGAAAGCATTTATACGTCCTGTCTTCACTTTTGTACATCAGTAGTGTGTTGATAAGGGAAGATAGAACTTGCATAGCAAAACAAACGATTCATTTCCCGATTTGCAAAAGGGATCTCAATCCCTCCATTTTCCCTCAACAATACAGCAAAGTCATAAAATTTACATTTAAGGACAGTTTTTACATTTACATTACTCTTATGAGTCTGAACTTGTATACTATAATGAATACAGTATCTCAATCAAGCAAACAAGATATAATATAATATATGAGTGTACAAACAAAGCAGTTAAAAATTCAGAAAAAAGCCTCAGACCACAGAAATCAACTGGTTTCCCTTACTGGGACAAAATGTCTTTGTACGTGAAGAATGTTCTGGTTTTGATAAGATTTATCACAGGAAACATGAATGTTTATTTAAGAAACTTAGATGCAAAGCAGCTTTGACAACTTTTCAAGGTCTTCTCGCCTAGCAAAATTAACTGTTCTCCTAATATTTCAAATGTGCAAGAACAGAAAATATTGCTAACAGCTTCCATTTTCTGAAGGTATTTCTGAGGACGGTTTCCTCAAAACGTCCTCAAAAAACTTCTGCTACAATACACTCATCAAATTATACCAATCAAGAATATGTCTGAGATTTCTTCTCTTTTCAGCTTGAAAAGGTGGTGAATTGAAAATTAACAGCTGTTCTTTCAAGATGTTAAGATGTTCCAGTAAGTACAGGGTAAAGTATCTCGGTAACAATACAGCATTAGCACAGAAGGGCAAAAAGAAAATGGATCAGTGGTGGAAGTGCTGAAACTACTTAATGTCTGCCAAGTTAAATATTCATCACCTTGGCTCCAGCTAATCTACCCCAGTCCCTGTGGCCTCCACCAGTCAATAATTCCAATACCATTTAAAAAATGAAATGGCTAAAACTTAATCTTTTAAAACTTAGGTTACAACGGCTTTGAATGTCACAAAAAATGTGTATGGATTTTAAAATACCTTGCATTTCAAAACTCTATACTGGTTAGTGAGGTAGTCTGGTAGATTACTGAACCAGAGAGATGCCCAGCTCTAAAAAAAGACATTTCTTCATAACCATTGATAAAACCACATTTCAGAGATCACAAAGTCTGCCGTCTGCTACTTATTTCACTAAAACAGTATAGTCCAGTCTCCAACCAGGAAGAAACATGCCTATGTACTTTTTTACAGAAATAAAACTTCTGCTTTACCTTTGACATTGTTCTTATAAAGAAAGACAGGTCATGAACAATGTCACCATAAGGGAACCAGAAACAGCTGTCTTCTTTTCATATTGAAGCTGAAAAGTGAAACAAGAAAGTTTCTTCCTTTGTGTCAGTTATAGTTATTATTAGACACCAGTCAAGGTCTAAAGCTTTTCTTTTGAAATTAAAAGAGGTGTATGCAGTCATTATAGTGCACATTTAGTTTAAGGAGACACAGAAACAGCAAATCTTCGATGTCTAAAGAATACTGTTTTTGAGTATTTTGCAGATAAGAAATGTCAATGGTTTTTAGAAGTAAGATTTCATTTTACCCGAGCCCCATAAAAAAAACATACCTAATATAAATGCTGTCGTAAATTAAACGTATAAGTAAACACAAAAGTCTTACCACACTTGTGAATAAATGTTTGCTAACATGATTCAGAAACCTGCATGTAAATAGAAGACTATCATTCACATATTGCAGTGTTTTTCTTTCAGTATTTAATGCCTGTATCTGCAAAATGTTTACTTCTCTCTATCATTTTAAACAGGAAAAGATAAAACAAGTTAAATGCACACGTTGCATTAAAAGTACTGTGTAAACATCAGTTCCTCTGAATTTCAAAGAACTTAAACTGGGTAAATGGGGAAAAGGCTTAGCTATTACTAAGAAAACAGTTTTAGTATGCTCCAACCAGATCAACATATCTTTTATTTAAATATTTGTAAGGCTAAGAATGACTGGTAAATGTAACCATGATTTTAAGATGTTATTAAATGTTATTAAATGTTAAGCAATTATGTTAAAAGCTGTTACTAGTAGAAATGACCATAACCAGGCAATATAACAAATCTACAAGCAAGGCTGTCTGTTGTCTAGGGGGGGTTAATAACAGGCTGTGCAAAGACAATAGTAGCATGGTGCTTATAATGCATGATTACAAATCATAATGTAGCCATGTCACAAACCTGACAGAGGTCTGTCACCTGTTAAGCAAGCCCTGGAATTAATACATCGTGCTGTGCTACCTAGCTGGCAGAAGGAGAGAAATTAAAATACTATTTATGAAGTTTCAGTGCCAGGGTGACGCTAAAAGGCATCTCATAAGCACAAACTCAAATTGGGAAACTACAGGATCACCTAATAATTGATTTCCCCCTGAACAAAAACATGGTAGAAGCTAAGTGTTTAATATTCCTATTTTTCGTGAGCTCCATTTTCAGGTTTATTGGGAATAAGGGGAAAAAAATCCTGCATCTTTCATCCAGTGGTAAGAGTGATCTCCACAAAACCATACTGTTACAAAGTATAATCCCAGGAAACTATACACATGCTTTATTTACAAGAAAAATATAATGAAATAAACAGACATGTCATGTTTTCTTCCTCAATGTGGTATTGCAAAACCCCTGTTCTGCTCTTTACCATGTGATCTTTCACAAACTTAAAAAAAAAAATCAGATCATAGAATAAAGCCTCATCAGCACAGTCCTAGAGGTCAGGTTGTCTCACAGTGCATGTGGTACAAGCAACAGTCAGCAGCACCCAATTGTCCACATCAAGACCCGGCTGGCTTTGCAAACCAGACGCCTGTGCATTAGTGTCAACTCTATTCTGTCATGCACATGCTCTCTATGGAGCGGTTAATAAAATCGGCCCAGAGAGCGCACGCTGCTGCCCCCTCTCCCCAGTGCCTACCGATCTCCAGGCGATGCTCTCCATGATGAGGTGCTCGCAGCGCTCAAGATGCTTGATCATCTCCCGCGTCAGGCTGGGCTCCGCCTTGATGAAGCTCTCAATGACCTTGTAGAAGTCGAAGGCCTTCAGCTTGAAGACATCCAGGATCCAGGGGAAGGACAGGTCTGTCTCCGATGAGCTGCTGCTGCTCTTGAAAGTGCTCCCTGGTGGAGGGACAAAAAAAAAAAAACACTGATGAATCTGCCACCTTGTTTAGTATGAAACTTGATTTCTGCCATTATTAACCCACAAAACTGTCAAAAAAATGATCACAAAAAGCATGCATTGGGGTGTACCTTATGGTTTTCCACATTTTTGATGAGCATTCAAAAACAAAAACAATCTGAGTGAACTAACCACCAAGATAAACCTTTTCTTTTCTGAAAGTTGTATCAAAGTTAGTCTAGGAAATAAGTGAAACCTGGCACTCAACTGCTTACTATGTTTTAAGGTTTACGCTTTATCATACATGATAAAATCTCTCCATACCGATACTGTTTCATATACTACCATATTTCATCTTGCGCATTTCCGACTTTCCTTGAACTACTTTTTTGTTTTTGCTGAATAAGGCAGATGAACATCATGTACTGAGAAACTTAAGTCACCATCAGAAAAAAAGCTGCAGATACAGTACCTTAACACAACAGGATACTGAAGAATTGTAATAACAGGAAAAGTAGACAAACACCTCTGGGTAAAAGCTTATCTTCTGTGGTAGGTAGTGTAAAGGTCTTTATCAGAGGTGACAAGTATGTTTAATAAAGTAAAATAAAGTGCAGAAACCAAGCTTTATGCTTGGTTCCTATTGCAAGAAACAGCTTCAAAGTGTTTATCAGGTGATAGTTGGCACTGTAAAAGGGAAAATAATGTGCAGTAAAGTTTTTTATTTTTATTTGGTGAAATCTGATGTACTGAGGGGTGCTTTCTTTTATGAGATGTTAAAAATCACTTTGGGGAAGTCAAAGTAATCAGAACTCATCTGTGCAAGAGAGAAAAAATAACTTACAGTCATAAGTAGCCATGACAACTTCCAAAGCACAGGCCAACAGAGAGGTGTGGAAATCTGCATTGCTGAGGAGCTTGCTGAAAATTAATATGGATACAAGAATGTCACTAACCGCACAGAATGACAAATCCATCCCCATTTTACATTTTATACTTAACTTCAGAAAAGCTAGGTTTTAAACTTACCTAAAATTTTGAATAGACAGCCGTTCTTCCTCCTAAGGGAGATGGAAAAAAAGATGCTAGGGTGATTTGAATTATTTTTTTAGAAAAACAACAGAAGAGCAAGAAAGTATCCCACCATTTTAATAAATAAACCCACTTACAGATCTAAGCATGGATTCCATCACTCTGTAGTATAACCGAACACCAAGTACAAATCTCTGGTCAGAAAAAGAAAAACAGGAAATGTGTTTATTTGTACATTTAGAAAAAGATGAATGATGTAGTATTCAAGAGGTACAATATAAATGAGTGTGATACACAAAGGATAAATGTTCATTTCTGTAGCACTCAGTTCTAGTTACATTTAAGCATTAATTAAATAATAAAAAAACCCTTAAGAAGATAACTCCACTCACATCCTAATAAAATTAAATCATTATTCACATTTCTATATATATAGGACACCAGAGCACTTCCATTGCAAGACTGTTGTCCAAATGTATCCATATCCCTGATGAAATAGGTAGAACGTCAAAAAGATTTACAAAATGGATTATTGGATCTTGTTTACAAAATTCAAAAATGTTATATAGTAGTATTAATAGCACCACCGAGCAAAATCATGTAAGAATGCCCAGAAAACATGTCACATTTATTCACACATTTAGTTTTTTCTAAATGTTCTACTGTTGATGCCTCTAGGAAAAAAAAGCCTATGGCTTTCACACTGTTGGACTGTGGATTAGAGCACTAGACAAGTGACAATGAGAAGAGTGTCAAATAGTGTTTCACTTTCACTACTTCAGTCCACTTCTGCTGCGACCCACTATGCCTTAAGCGAAATCTTTTTCTAGATCTCTTCATTATTTGCTCTCCTCCTCCCTGTGCTAATTGCCCCCTTCTCTCATTTACTCCCTCAAACAACAGATAACTCTTTCTGACAAAGAAGCCAAGGAAGTTTTACTGCTAAAAGCTCCACCTCACCTTCCCTTTATAACTAACCTTGCTGGATCCCTCAACTCCAAACTTTACCAGTTCCTCACTGTTGAGAAGGATAAAAAACTAAATCATGTTTTACAGAAAAAAAAACATACCCACTACCTTTACTAATACTAACCTTTCTGGACAAACTTATCCATTTACCATGCATGACTCTACTTCTGTCTGCTACAAACCCACATGATTCACACGGCTATCTCCTGTACAGCTTAATTCACCCCACACATACTAAAAATTCTCTCCTCTTTTCACAGTTCCTCAGGCTCCGATGAGTTTGCAGTGATAACATGGATTTCCAAAACCAATCCCTCAAAATGCACTCTTTTTTCATCAACAGAGGATACTCTACCCATGTTATCAACCGGACCCTTAACCGAGGCAAAAACAACCCTTGGATCTTCAACGCAATTAGAAACTCCCAGCCTAACAACAGCATTCCATTGGTGCTTCCCAACCACCCTTTCTATTCCCAGGACCATTAACGACAAATTCCCTATCTTACATGATGATCTGTCCACTGGTTCCCTTTTTTCTGACTGCCTCAATCTCACATTGCTGACCACCTAATCTGCATAACCTTCTTGCTCATAGCTCCCTTGACCACCACCAGCAATCATCCACACCAGGCACTTTCCCCTGCAACAGAACTTGCTGCATCACCTGTAAATATATATTCAATACAACGCTCATTCAAGGCCCTTCTGTACACTTCCAGATCACTCAGATGATATCTTGCATCTCCACCAACCTTATTTACTACATCTCTTGCACAAAATCCCCACCTATCCATATTGGTGAAACAGGAAGGAGACTGGGTGACTGCTTCAGGGAACATGTTTCGTCTCTGAGGATCAAAGATCTCTCAAAGTCCATTGTTTCCCATTTGATGTTTAACAGCCATTATCATGCTGATCTCTCCGTCTGTGTTCTCAAAGAGGGGTTTCGGAACTCCTATTGCAGAAACACATCTGAAACCAAAATTATGCTGAAACTAGGATCACACCTTGCCCCCTCTCTCAACAACAGACTCGTTTCCTTCTAATTCTATTAATCCTCTCTAGTAACTCTCTCTCACTCCCAGAGAAGGCTACACAGCCGAAACGTTGCATATCTTTTTCTTTTATCTTTCCAGCATGGAATAAACCTTTACATGTTTCACACCAAATTTTTAAATGAAGAACTTAAATGAGTACAGTAGGTCAGTACTCAACTGCTCTAGGTTTCACCTTTGACGGAGTCCATGGGTGAAGGGACATTGGTGAGAACCAAGTTATTTTTCCGACACACATTTATATTGTGTACAGCTGCATATGTACCATGCACACTGCATGCAGCCAAGCTGTTGAGAGATTTGTCGCCATGCATGTTACCATGCAAGGGCAGCACAGTTGAAATGCCAGGTTTTGAGATGGTAAAAAAAACTTCAGCAGATTGCCATACTGTTTAAAGCTTCCTAAATATCTCCAGTATGACCGTGCTCAAATGTAAGGTGTTTCTTAACTTGAATAACAGCCGAAGAACACTTCCCATTTCAAAAGGAACCCCAGAAGATCATTTACCTGTGATCCGATTTCAATGCATTGTTGCCCCACGGCGCGAGCAAACCTATCGATGAAGAGTTCTCTCATATTCACCACCCTCTCGGTGATCTCCTCAGAGGGGTTCACTGTACAGTTCTGGGGCAGAAAAAAAATGCATAACAATCCAGATTAAACTGTAAGTGTTCAAAGAGTGAAATAATTGATTATACTTGATTTCTTAGGATCAAAGCTAGAATGGCAATTATGAAAGCAGTTAACACTTAGCTTTAAGACTACAAGACGAGTCTTAAAATTCACCAGACAAGAAAAAAGGGAAAGCCTCCCATTCAATTAATATTCTCAGATATTACTTTGGTTAAATGCACCAAAATTCTGAAAATGTGCTTGCAAAACAAAAAAACTCCAACACATAATTTCCCATCTTCTCCTAAGGAAAACAAAAATGAAGCCATTCACACCTCAATAGGCCTAACTCTCCTTCAGGAAAAAGCTCTTCAGTACCTGCTTTTAAAGCACACACACTACCAGGTAATATCGGCATCATTGGGTGATGTTCTGGTTCAGCTACTTTTATATTTTTTATAATTAATTGGGAAACAAACATACCACCAGAATGTAACAGACAGATGATGGATAGAATGATTATGGAAAAACAGGATCGTCAATTTAGCTTCTATAACTTCAGAATGCTAAACATCTAGTGTATGTTCTTACCGTTGCCACAGTTATCTACAAATTACACATTGGAAACAAGCAGGCACATTAAATCCCAGCTAGGACACAAAAAACAAATGTAACACTCTTAGGCAAGGATTATTAAGAAAGATGCTACAAACATATTAAAGATATGATGTTACACTAGACTAATGCCAACAAAAAATGTACCCATTCTTAGCAAATACTATCTGGATGATGCAACTTGTAAAAATTACCTGAGAAGTAAATGCCTCTACATGCCATTTAATCAGATAAAAGTTGGCAAACAAAATGCCAGTAAGTTCTCAATCTGCTTCCTGTATAACCATATCTGGTAGTGAAGTCTCAGAGGATGTAAAGCTTCAACAACGGGTAACATTTCATTGGCTGATGAATCATTACTAGAAAAGCAGGCACATGCCAACATCTTGGGCCTGCAAATGATAAGGTGAGTGCTGGGTGTGTTCCTTGCTTACAAAGGCTGAAATCTGGCAAAGTAACAGCAGAACAAAACAATGCTCTTCCCAACGGGCCAACAGTGCAGTACATTCACTTACACTGAAGTACTTTACGAGGTTTTCTGATGGCCAGTCACTGGCGGAGTTGAGGATGACCTTTAGCTGTTGAATGCAGTTCATGGCAGCTCTGTGGAGACAAGGTTAACACAACAGCACCCATAATCAGGTTTCTTCAGAGCAAACACACAATCATCTATCAGGCTGTTTGTTCACTTCAATAAAAATACTATAAAGTCTAAATGAAATGCAGATGTCCCCCAACTCAACAGCTGTTGAAACAGAAGGGATGATCCATTCCTTTTGGAAACATCAATATTAGCTGGAAACTGCAATTGCAAGCACTGATGTAATAAAAGGTTGTAAACCACAGCTATGCTCAGAATTATTCATATGTCATATACCTCAGCTTTAAATACATTTCCTGGCATATACAGTACAGTAATTATAACCAGGTCTGTGGGCTAACCTCCAAAGTCAGTTTTTCTCACAGATGCAAAAGCTGATCAATTTTATACATGTTGTGCCAGTGAGGTGGTTAATTTTGAGACCACCTGCCCACATGCCTGATACAGTACCTAACTTAAAAATCTTAGTCACTTCCTCTCACTTGTTCACTTAAATTTAAAATAAGAACAAAAAAACCCTGCAATTCAAAGCCTTCAATTTACAGCAAGCTGAACAACTGAAATGGAAACAGAACATTGCAATTTGTATAAGATGGATCATCTGGTCAGAACTCCTGCTTGTGGCATTAACAAATATTTTAAAACTGTGGGCAGGAAGCGTGTTGGAATAATCCCTGTGCAGCTCCACTGTCCCAGGCCTACACTGGGCCTAAATAGCCTGGGTCTCATCACTCTCCAGAGCCTACTTAAAACTCACCCACTAACACAACTCTTTTTGATCATGTTCTCTACCTCATTACCTGCATGTGCTCCTAAGCATAAGCATACTAACAAACCCCACACATTCAATGAGAAGTGGCATTCTACAAGATTCTGAAATATTGCTTCTCATTCTTCTCAAGCAGGAGAAATGGGGTGCGTTGCATTCTGAAGGATCCAATAGATCCTCATAATGCAAGTGCTTTGAGGAAAGCGATGAAAGTTTATAGATGTCAAGCCAACAACCCAATGCAAGACTGCTCATTTGACTGGAGGATTCCTAGTTTTTTGGCCAGTAGTTAAAGCAATAACATTTTTTAGGGCAAATTACACAGCTATTGTTTATACCACATCAATTTTCCTCATGATTTTAAATACAGTTTTGACTTTCTAGCAACAACTCTTTTGACAAGTTGAGGTGCCCAGCAAGATGCATGGGTGCCCACTTCTCGAAAGATTCTGGCACAGATAACTGCAACTCTAATCTTGCAGCTCTCTGAAAATTGAGAACCACTGCTTGCTCACTAGCACTGGATTAACTTATTTTGTGGCCCTGTGCATTAACACAACTGAGCATATTCACATAACTAATGCAAACTGATGAGTAATTACCAAGTTACTGTAAAACAATACGTGTTCAATTTAATTTAATAATAATAATTGCTTACACTTATATAGCGCTTTTCTGGACACTCCACTCAAAGCGCTTTACAGGTAATGGGTACTCCCCTCCACCACCAC